AATGTCACTCATTTATCATCTGTCTGTTGTTAGGTTTTTCAAAGAGTTACATTGAAACTCCTGAAGTACACAAATGTAGTTTCTATTGGAGGTGGCTTTTTAATCCAAAGGGGGTTCTGAAATAAATTAATGTTACATGTATATGTATTTTCCAACTCAATAAGAAAAAGCCACTGTTACTATTAGTAGAACATTGGTATATGTTAGGTATGGCATATAAGATATCTTATATATAATCATATAGCTGACTTTGGTAAATTGTTTTGTAGTGAAAAGTTACAAATACAATACAAGTTCTGTCCTGGTTGACTGTCAATGAAATCAAATGTCCACAAACATTGTTCCTCAATCCACGAAATAAATGAATCCACAGTAGTTGCTAACATCTACGGCATTTGGTATCTGGTGAATAATTGTCTCATTGACAATCAAACCATATCTCCTTATTTTAAATTTTTGTGACCAAGTTATGGAACTTTGATGTAGACAGTTTTCTGCTATTCAGTTGTCTTCAAGAATTTTGGCTGATGTTCATTTTTATGAGACAGGAGACATTTTTGTTACTTATCTTAGAGTTCATCAACTGTAAGTTATACATTATTGATATTTAATGTACAGTCTATGAGTCCTTGTGGCTTTAGTGCTGCTCCAATGACTTAAGAAATTAAAGTTTTCTGTATGAAGGCATATTTATGTGATATCATTGAAATATGGTATGGTATGGTATTACATTAGCATCTATTTAATTCAGCAATTTCGGCAAACAAAGCTTTAGGGGTATATATCAGCCTATTTGACTATATACCCATATTTAATTTTTTTAGCTAGTCAGACAGTTCTATTTTTTTTCAACTGTTTCAAGAACTGAAATCCTGCAATGATGTAATTAATGTATTATTCAGAGAAACTTCCTTATTAATAAGATAATTATCTTAGATGGTATAGTGTATAATGTTATAACATCATCAATACAAAGGATCAATGGAATTAACATTATGTTTAGTTTAATTTGCCTTGCACTTAAAACATAACGAATGAGGAAGCATTGGAATAACAAGAGATTACAAATGTTTTTTATTGATAAAGAAGATTTAAAACATTTAATTAAAAGAAAATTAGAAATAAGACTAATAATAGATGTTGAAAACTTCAGATTTCAAGTTAAATAATCATGTACTCATACAAGGCCAAGAAAAAAAATATGATATCATGTGATAAAGCTTGAAAGTATCCATAAATTCTCAGTCCGTGTCTCAATCATATCACTGTCTTCAAGATGGCAAATCTATACACATAAATAGTCATATTTTAATCTTCTTAATATGAAGTTATTAGGTTCTTTGGACATTTGTTTATTGATTATGTTTTGAAGATGAAATGAAAATATGAAATATTGTTGATGATTTCATGAATAGACGATTTAGGAATATTACTTTATGTCATGTATAACTGTAATTAATCATAACTAGATCATATTCACCGTAACTTGATCTTCTTTGCATGGTTAGGTAGATATGTGATAACTTGTTGATGAATATTACCAATAATATCAAATCTAGACATGATTAAAGGAGCAGCCATCACACACATATCAATGATAAAAACTGATAGATTGAATTAAATTAGCCATGAATATAAACAAGTTGTTTAACTATAAGATCAATTGCTGAGGATAAACAGGACCTCTTCTAGTGAATCATTTTGTCTCTTTGAGATAACATTTTTATTTTTGTTGGTGTTTTTTTTCTGATTTTTTTTTCTATTAATCATAAGAGTGAGTTTAAGTTGATGTACTTTATGATTGAGGATAAATTAACACCAGAAAGTTTTAAAAGCGAAAATACCAAACAATATCACTGAAACATTTGTATGCCATTTTTCTGTATTATTGTACTAATAGTACCAGAATATGTAAAATAATCTGGTCTACATCCTCCTACATTTTCTATAGTTCTAAGACAAACACTTAGATGATACTTTTAAATGACATGTCTATGTTAAAGTAATTAAGATCTTAGAAATAGAGTTGACACTTGATATCGTGTGATTAGAATGTCAATAGTGGGAGTTTAGAGTAATCATTGATACAGACATGAAAGCAAATAAACTTATTTAATGGAGTATATGGACATCAAAAGCTAACTGACAATGTACTTTAATTTGTTAGACATTGCTTAATAAATGAAACTACTGCTTTTTGATGTGGTCATCTGACATTAACTCGGTTTGATTAAGATAACTTTGGTTAATGTATTATTGTTAGAAAATCTTGATCTGGGGATAGCATTACTTGAATTATGTCTCTCTCATCTCTGCAGAGAGATATATTGTTTTTGTCCTATCTATTTACCTATCTGTCCCGAAAGTGTAAAGGCTGAATTTCCTATAGTTTACAGAAGAGTTGTACTTAAGACCACATATTTTTAGTTGTGCAACTCCATGCTTAGTTTTGATCAGACTGAATTAAAGCTGTTTCCCATAGCAAAAAAATTGACACTATAATTTTTATCTGTGGAAAGTTTGTCCATGCAAAATCTCCAACAGTAACCGGTCCATGTTAATCTATGGGAAATCCCCAAAATCAGTCCCATCAAGGTGTCAGTATGAAGGCATTTCATACATGTCTTAAGCTGTTTGGTTGACACACAATTAAGGAAAGATATATAGAATAAACACAGATATACCGTATGTTGGATGCACTTATTTTGCAATTAGTTGGGCTAAATCTTTTGCAGATGCACTCAAGTTGTGAGCTTTGTATTGCAGGGCTGCACTCAATTTGTGAGCTTTGTATGGCAGGTGCACTCAATTTGTGAGCTTTGTATTGCAGGTGTACTCAAGTTGTGAGCTTTGTATCACAGATGCACTCAATTCATGACTTTTGTATGATAGGTGCACTCAATTTGTGAGGTTTGTATGTCAGGCTCACTTAATTTGTGAGCTTTGTATCAAAGATGCACTCAATTTGTGACCTTTGTATGGCAGGTGCACTCAATTTGTGATCTTTGTATTGCAGGTACACTCAATTTGTGAGATGTATGGCAGATGCACTTTTATATATCAGAAACAACTTGTTTTTGAGGTCTTTTAACCACAGTCATTGACTACCTTTAAAGTTGAATACAATTTCCACCACAAACCAGTCAACAAGTCAAAAATGTATTTACAGGATTAATTGATTGGAATTTATGATTTTTGGTTTTTGAAATAAAATGTTGTTTACATAATGAGCTTTTCTTGGTATGATATGACTAAGAAAGATTTGGAAGCAGTTTGATCATTTGATGCAGATAAAAATGTTGAAGTTGTTTTGTTCTGTAATGCAGAAAGTCTTGTTTGTTAATGATACCATAAACTCTTACATGGTTCATTTAGTGAACAGCTATTATTAGTATCCACTGATAATAAATTGGTATGAATTTTGTCTGTTTTACATGTTTACACAAGACAAATTTCATATTAAATTACATTAAAAATTCAAATAACATGCAATACAGCATAAAAGCAAATCAATATAACGTAAAATTATAATTATACTTTTTTTTTATAATTATTGAAACAGAGATATTATCCACTAGGATTTACATGATGGAATATTTACAGATATAAATGGCACAATTTTCTAGATAATTCCATATCAAGGGAGCTGTAAAATTCATTTTTTTTGCCTTTGGCATGACAAGTACTACTTGTGTTGTTGTGCTTGTCTCACCCTGGTACATTTTAATCAGACTAATACCTAATAGGATTGCTAAATAAATAGCATGCACACACTGTAAAATTATAGCTAAAATGACATGAAATGTAGTCATTATTTGTTTTTAGATAGCTGTGATCAAATTAGATATTTTGTAAATTTTTCTGAGTTATTTTAAAGGCTATTGCATGTAAACGAGTGAGAAAGATGTCACACTATGATTAATGAAACTTTTAATTTATCTAGGTGCGATCTACGTTGTAACTTTAAACAAAATTATATACCAATTTACAAGGTAGAAACTTCATCTATAAGTTCATCTTCTGCCTACTGTTAAAAATATTCTTAACTTTATAAGATAACTTGCCAGTCAGTACATAAGTCTAATGTCAACTATTTTCTAGTGTTTCTAAGGGGAAAATCTAGGTTTTTTTTTTAAACAGGGGAATAATTGTTTGTAATGGTAAAAAAAAAGGTGACCTTTTAAAATGTGAGAAAAAAAATTTGGACAATTTTATGCAAAAAAATGTAAATCTGATCTCTAGGGTAGTGTGTATGCCATCTACACTACAATTTGAATCTGCCACTGTTTCTTATCAGTATACAATAGTGGGGCATGCTAATAAAAAATCACATATATATATAAGAAGATTTGGTATGAGTTATGTTCATTTAGTTGACAATTTGAAAAACTTGATTGGCTGGTTTTAATGCCACTTTCAAATTTATATATTCAATGGCAAGACATTTTATGCAGAAGCATAGCTTGTTTACTCCCATGTAATTACCAAAGAAGTTTGTATTTTTCCAAGTTTTTTTTTCTATTTATTTTATTTATTTGATAAAGTACTATAGGTTTTGTGCCTTCTGTGTTAGAGGGATTACATCTCTTAATTTAGAAAGAAAGTAATGACTAGGTTTAAAATAATCCTGCTATATCTTGTTTATATCAAAAACAAAAGTTTATTGCACTGAAATAAATTAATTACATGTACAATGTGATATAGACTCAATAGAATGAATCTTGTAACCAAACAACATGTAAATAAAGTAAAAACAGGATTAAAAATTGAAAAGGGAAGTAAATGTCAGAGAATCTTTAAAACTTATTCTTATAAGAAACTGTAATACTAAAAGAGCCTTTCCTGCTTAAAGCTGCATTTATCATTGCAGAAAAGGAGGAATTTCTACCAGTAGTCTAGTTAAGTAGGAATCAAGAGTTTTTAATCCCCTTGAGACAATACAAATACATTTATCTAGTTTTTATTTAGTGGTATAATAACCTAAAATGTCTTTTTTTCAGGATTGTGCTATCCTTCAGATTCTGTCAGCAGTGTTATATGAATGTGTCACCAGGGAAAAACCAGAAGCTATAATGTCCTTGCTGGGACTTAATCAGGTAAACTGTCAGTATTAGTTGAAAAAACTTCCAGATATTGTGTAATATGGAATTGAAATGGATTTCCTTTGAGGAAAGAAAATTTGAATTTAATTTGTTATAAAATTTGAATAGTTGGCAGAGACAATCATTAGAACACCTTGGGATATATAAGTCTAAGAACAGTGTAACTTTATTTGTAGGTTGTGAATATCAAATTATTTTTTTAAGACATTAATTTCGCCTGTTTTGCTATTTTTTTCGCTTATTGTTGATAAATTTAGTTTAAAGGTTTCGTATGGATTTTTAAAAGTACAAAGAACAAAATGTAGGTTTTTTCTAAGAATTCCTCGTTTTATTCCAATATGATTGAACACATAGCTGCTAGAGGAAGAACTTAATTATGATTTGCAATTTTTCTCATTTTGTCTCGAACACAAAACTTGATATATTATTGATTACAGAAATATAACATCTTAATGGAAGAAAATTTGGTTCAAAATTTTTCCAAATGGAAAGATTAAAAAAACAGGTAAAAAGAAAAATAGAGCAGTGATTCCATCATTATCCTTACCCTACTGAAGGCATCTTGGTTGTTCCAGGGAAGGATTTCTGACGGTAGAAGTATGAATATCCTGTTACCTTCAAATACGTCTAGTTGATTTTTTCCTTTGTTACTGTGTTTATGGAGTTCATTATCTGGTATTTGAGACATGAAAGAATGTCATGGTTCAAAATTTTATTCCCTATGTTTGTCAAAAACTGAAATAAAATGAGTCATACAGCATAAACCTGCCAACTCAAGTGAACCATGACCAATATTTTTTATTATTGATTACTTGTCAAGAGCTGTTTAAAAATTGGTTAGTAATTGAAACAATTTCATTCTAGTTGAATGTCTTGGTTTTGTTGACTCTCATTAGATTTACCTGTGTTCCATTCGAGCAATTTAAAAAGTTTTAACGTCTGACATTTTTGGGGAAAGAAAGACATTTTCGGTCTTATTATAACCTAATACTGCCACCCAATAGTTTCTAAATTTGAAATTTCCACCACTTTAATCAAATGTTCAATTCTGGTACAGACATTTAAATGTGTCATGACATACACAGTAGTAAAGTTCTACTTTTCAAATTTAACTAGTTGATGTCTGCCATAACTGTTTTTTGCTTATTGTTGTAGTAGATATCAGGCTCTTTTTAATTGTATCACATTTTGTCATTCAATGCCCTTTATTTAACTTATTATATTGTATTGGTTTTGCAATGACAATACAATGACCTGTAAATGTTCACACCTATCACTTTTGGTCTCTAATAGATAGTCGTCTCATTGGCAATCATACCAAATCTCCTTATTCTTTTTTAATTAAATGCAGAAAGTGATACATTTGTACTCAGGTCTTGTTGATTTATTTATTTAATTAATATTCTCGACAAAGAAACTTTGACTTAAAGCAGATGGTGTTACATTAATTTAATTTCTTTTAGATTTTAGACAAACCAGATTTTGATTTGAAATCAGAGGGTGTAACACAACTGAAGCTTGCTCTAGCATACTATAGAAGTAACCATCAGATACTCAGTCAGGATGTAGACCACAAAAATCAGTTGTTAAAGATGGAGTTTCTGTTGTCACTAAAAGCCAAACTAGAAAATGTTTTAGACAAATGGCAAACAGGTTAGATATTGTTGATGCAATCTTCCATTAGAATTCTATCATGTAAGGTAGAAAATGTTTTAGACAAATGGCAAACTGGTTAGATATTGTTTATGCAATCTTCATCTTTAAAATTCTATCATATAAAGTACAAACTGCTCTGGAAAATTGGCAAATAGGTTAGATATTGTTTATGCCATATTCATCTTTAAAATTCTATCATATAAAGTAGAAAATGTTTTTGACAAATGGCAAACTGGTTAGATATGTTTATGCAATCTTCACCTTTAAAGTTCTATCATATAAAGTAGAAAATTGTCAATTGACAATTGGCAAACTGGTTAGATATTGTTTATGCCATATTCATCTTTTAAAAATGTTTCAGACAATTGGCAAACAGGTTAGATAAACACCTTATCACTATTTATTCCAATCAAAGTTTTGAAATTACACAACTTTTTCATAACCTCGCAATCCAAATGAAGCTATCTGGGGCCCTGTTTAAACAATGTATTGTGCATAGAACTATCCTTAGAGACATGTTTAAACCATCGTAAAGACTTCAAACAAAGCCTTTTATGACTTTAATTTGTGTTTTAAAAATTTGGATCATAAAATATCAAAATCTCAAAGTGTTGACTTTCTAGATTTTTTCCTCCCTCTGCTCATTAATGATGACCTTTGTTTTTTGTGACACTTGACCAAAACAGGAGATTGTCTAATTAACTGTTTTTATAAGACCGCAAAAAAAATTTTTTGCGGTCGTATATTGGTATGACGTCGGCCTTGTCGTCGTCGTTGTCCGAAGACACATTGGTTTTCGCACTCTAACTTTAGTTCAAGTGAATGGATCTCTATGAAATTTTACCATAAGGTTCAATACCACAAAAGGAAGGTTGGGATTGATTTTGGGGGTTATGGTACCAACAGTTAAGGAATAAGGGGCCAAAAATAAGCATTTTTGTAACTTCCAGAAAATAACTTGTGTTCAAGTGTATGGATCTCTCTGACATTGTACCACAAGGTTCCATATCACAAAGGGAATGCTGGGATTGATTTTGGGGGTAGTTGCCTCAAAATTTTAGGAATTATGGGCAAAAAAAGGGGCAAAAAACAAGCATTTTTCTAGTTTCAGGACAATAACTTGTGTGTAAGTGTATGGATCTTTCTGAAATTGTACTACAAGGTTCCATATCACAAAGGGAAAGCTGGAGTTGAGTTTGGGGGTAATTGCCCAAAACGTTTAGGAATAAGGGGCCAAAAATAAGCATTTTTCTAGTTTCCAGACAATAACTTGTGTTCAAGTGTAAGGATCTCTCTGAAATTGTACTGCAAGGTACCATATCACAAAGGGAAGGCTGGGATGGATTTTGGGGGTAATTGCCTCAAAATTTTAGGAATTAGGGGCCAAAAAGGGGCAAAAAATAAGCATTTTTCTAGTTTAAGGACAATAACTTGTGTGTAAGTGTATGGATCTTTATGAAATTGTACTACAAGGTTCCATATCACAAAGGGAAAGCTGGGTTTGAGTTTGGGGGTAATTGCCCTAAACGTTTAGGAATTTGGGGCCAAAAAGGGGCCAAAAAACAAGCATTTTTCTAGTTTCCAGACAATAACTTGTGTTCAAGTGTATGGATCTCTCTGAAATTGTACTGCAAGGTACCATACAACAAAGGGAAGGCTGGGATTGAGTTTGGGGGTGATGAATCTTAAGGGGGTTCAAAAAATTTGAGGGGGGGGGATTTTTTTTCCTTTTTTTCCTTTTTTTTCTTTAAAATTTTCCATTTTAAATTGGTTATTTCTGATTTATATATAAAAGCAAATAATAATGATATGGTTTGAATAGGTAAATTAAATTTTTTTAGTTCTTAGACCACTTTCATTCTGTGCAGTGATTTTGCTAGCGCTCGTCATTTACGAAACGGTTTTTCAAAATGACGAAAGTATTCCAAATCAATTTCGTCACTTGAATTTGGAAAGAGTAAAAATATTTTCGCATGAAAATACTATAATTCTACCTGTCTAATTGTTTCTGACAAGTTTATGACCCTCAGCTAATTAACATTTACAACAGGTGTTATAAGTTGCGATTACAGATAATCCGCTTATCACCATCGGATAGGTCACTAACCCATTAATTATTTATCAACCTCATAATTGATCATCATATTATTTTCCCCAGTAAAATCAGTCAGTCGGAATTTCAATTTCAATATTTATCAAACGAGCACAATTTGCAGTTCGTTTGTCATAGTTTCGTCATTTGAAGAAAATTGTTATCCCTCGGACAGTTCGCATTTTAATTTCAATATTTCTCAAACGATCACAATTTGCAGTTCGCTTGTTGTAGTTTCATCAAATGAAAGTATTTTCGTCATATTTGATATAACTTTTAATCAAAAACTTTCGACAATTTCGATTAAAAAGATAGAACTTTATTCATAACATTCAGAAATGTTTTCACGAGTCAAACAGATGCCTTCTTTACGATGAACTGCGCATGCGTGAAAGTATTCTTATGAATTTAAAGACACTAAAACGTAAGATAAGAAATAATTAAGTATCAAACTAAATGAGAGAGACAAATATAGTTCTTATTAAGCAAATTTTATTTAAAAAATGATAATTTCCTGCCTTTTTTAAACATGAACCAATCCGTAGATGAACCCGGATTCATTCTGAATTTATTATCCACTTGTCACTTCCTGTTTTCATTTCATTTGGACATTGAAAGTAAACGTGATCTAATCATGATAAATTTGCAATTTAAAGTCATTAGAATTGTTCCAATAAGGATTTGTACAAATCCTTGGTTCCAACTTTATAGAATTGATTCTAAATATCGCTTTAAAACGTTTTTAAGGATAATGAGTATGAATAATGCAGTGAAATAGTCCCTACAAGTTCATTTATGCTGTGATTCCTGGTTTTAAAAAAAATGGATCCCAACTTTTGTTGATTAGGAATGTACACTGAAACTATCTGAAGTGAAATTGTGAACTAGATTTCTAGATCTTATATCATAATCTTCCTATTAAAGTGCCACATCAGTCAAATCATGCAGTAACTGCCTAGTATGCCTAAGTCCTTCAAAGTCTGACAAAGATGTATAGATAGAAATATACATCCTAGGTCCCTTGCTGCTACCCAAAATAAGGTTGATTTTCATACCGCGCAAAAGTGACTAAAGCCCTCAAAATCCTAGCTTAAACCCTGATTCTGTGTCCGAAACCTATGCTGTGTCAGATATTTAATCACAATCCAAATTCAGAGCTGTATCAAGCTTGAATGTTGTGTCCATACTTGCCCCAACTGTTCAGGGGTTCGACCTCTGCGGTTGTATCAAGCTGCACCCAGCGGAGCATTTTATTTTTTCCTGATTAGACTAAATAGGGATAAGGTGTATTGTTTTTGTAATATTCATCTTTAAAATTCTATCATGTAAAGAAGAAAATGTTCTAGACAGATGGGTTGAAATCTCACAAAACATGTTTAACCCCGCCGCATTTTTGTGCCTGTCCCAAGTCAGGAGCCTCTGGCCTTTGTTAGTCTTGTATGTTTTTTAATTTTAGTTCATTTATATGATTTGGAGTTTAGTGTGACATCCATTTTCACTGAACTAGTACACATTTTTGTTAAGGGGCCTGCTCAAGCCCGCCCAGGATGCGGGATTTTCTTGCTGTGATGAAGACCCATTGGTGGCCTTCGGCTGTTTTCTGCTCTTTGGTCGGATTGTTGTCTTTTTGACACTTTCCCCATTTCCATTCTCAATTTTATTTTTATGGTTAGATATTGTTAATGCAATATTCATCTTTAAAATTCTATAAAATAAAATTTGTAAGCGAAAGTTAAATGGCTCAGAGAAATTATTGAACTGATATATAACAAGTAGGTGTGAAATGTGAATTTTTTCTTTTTTCTAAAACACTAAAAGATATTAACACTAAATCTATTATTATTTCCTTCCTGCTTAGAAATAATTATGACAAGCAATTACTTCCAGAGAATTGTCATACCTCACATGTAAATTTGCTGGTTATTTTTCCTAATAATGATTGTAATTATTTTAATCTTTTTATCTTTCACCAATGATGCAAAAACAACTTACATTGCACTTACAGTACTAAAGTTATACATTTGTATGGATTTTCTTTGGGCTAAGTACAAGTAATCTTTATAGATATTAATGTATGTTTGGCTTCATACAATTACAATGGCTCATTATAAGTAATAATGATTAAGTCAGTGGGTTTCCATTAGGTGGTGTGTACTCTCCGATGATAGATTTATGTCGTAATTTTGGGTATTAACTCCCATGTACCTTGGTTCTATAAATTTATCGTTAATTAAGATTTGCATGATTGCTTAATAAGCGTTATTATAATTCCTGTATTTGATTTTATGATTTTTTTATGTTTGATTGTCTACACTATTGATATATTTTTATTTGATAATGTGTCATTGGATATTTATGATTGCTGTTCCTAGCAAGCAAAAAACATCTTTTAATTGCAACAAGTATGGTTTGTAAGAGAAAGAATAAATGTTTATTTGCGATATAGAATTTTGATAAATTATATTGCATGATAATGATGACTTTATAGAACAGTTGATCTTTGAAGCGTGTCAGAAATCAAATCAATCGTATGATTATATTTGTATTATGTAACAAGTAATTGATTACTGTAAGATCGTATGTCTAAATGCATCAGTAGGAATAGTCATTGAGGTTAAAGAGGCATGATAATTGTTGTCTGGCTTGGCCCACCACAGTCATCGTGTAAATAATAAAGAATGATTACTCCAACTATCCGTCATACAATTTCATAAAGTAATTGTGTATCATTTCTATGATTAGGAAATGTATACTGGACAGATAAATTTAATATTGTAAATTGATGTCAAACAAACGACTATGTTATATAATCTGCATCAAGCAAAGACTATTTGTCACGTTCCACAAAAATAAAATACTCTCTCATTTCTACCTCTGCATATGTCAAAATTTATTGCAATGGAAG